TAATAATTGCTCCCACAGTTGATTTCTTCAAACCAAGCTGCTTACCTATTGCAGATTTAGTCTTCCCAGCCTGGTGCAGGTCTACAATTTTGTTTCTGGTGTCCTTTGACAGCTCTTTGGTCTTGGCCATAGTGGAGTTTGGAGTGTGACTGTTTGAGGTTGTGGACAGGTGTCTTTTATACTGATAACAAGTTCAAACAGGTGCCATTAATACAGGTAACGAGTGGAGGACAGAGGAGCCTCTTAAAGAAGAAGTTACAGGTATGTGAGAGCCAGAAATCGTGCTTGTTTGTAGGTGACCAAATACTTATTTTCCACCATAATTTGCAAATAAATTCATTAAAAATCCTACAATGTGATTTTCTGGAGAAAAAAATTCTCAATTTGTCTGTCATAGTTGACGTGTACCTATGATGAAAATTACAGGCCTCTCTCATCTTTTTAAGTGGGAGAACTTGCACAATTGGTGGCTGACTAAATACTTTTTTCCCCCACTGTACCACAAACCCCCGAGGTGCCTTATTGCTATTAGAAACTGGTTACCAATGTAAAAAAAAAACGCTCTGATATACCATGGCCTTCAGCCAATCAGCCTTCACGGCTCGAACCACCTGGTTTATCATTGAAAATAGAAAATGTCCCATCTTACTGTATATGTCACTCATCTAAATTGACTTCCAGATCCACATGACGTCAATGGTTGTACAACGAAAATGTCACATCTCATATGAGTACATAGACCTGATTGAGTTTGAGGCCTTTCACAGAAGTTGTCAGGATGATGCAGAGGAACTCCTTGAATCAGATTTCTGGTTCTTTTGCAGGAGAGGACAGGTGTTGGGATCCCTAATCCAAGTCCGATGAGAAGGCTTCCAGGAGTCAAATGTTGGCCCAGTGGAGTTGTTAGAGTTGAGCTCATTAATGAACCAAACTTTGCGCTTGTGTGTGTGTGTGTGTGTGTGTGTGTGTGTGTGTGACAGAGAAAGTGTGAGACACAGATAGGTGATATGACAGTATTTGAAGTGTTTGGGGGAGTAGAACATGGTAAGTGAATGGTATATAGCTGGATGTTATGTCAATGAAGTGCACACCAAATCTGAACTCACTCCCCACTTTTAAAATATTTGACTCCACAACAGCTATTTAAGACAGAGCTTAACGGTAAGGGGATTACCTTAATTACAAAGAACGTTATTAAAGCAGTATCCCCACCTACGACTACAGGTATGGACGCCTTATAGCGTCACCTGAAATCAGAAGCAAATCAAGGCAAGGCCAGGAGGTTGTGCCCTTCTGAGAACTAGGAGAACTAAACAGGATAAGGTAGAAGTACACCATTAAGAACAGTATCACAAAGCAAGGAAGGCAGCCTTGATGCATGTTTTATTCCGAAGAACCCTAAATATCGGAGACTTAGCAGACTCTGTTCAAAGACGGACAACAAAACTCACAACTAGCAATGAACATCATCATTAACATTATTCAAACATCGTTTTCAATGTCTCACTAGTGGTCTACCATTCATAGTTGTCACTTCAACAAATGATTGAAACTTAAATGGTCTTGGTGTGTGAATAACACAGTCACCTCAATCGACTCGTGTTTTAATTGGTTTCCAACAAAGGTGTTAGCCTTGGTGCCTGGGTAATTATTGGTGTTAGGGTTAGTGGTAGGGTTGCACCTGCCTGAGTACGGTTAAGGACAGTGTTACAGGGGCTTGGCAAGCTAATCCGAGTGAGGGGCCTTCAGGGCCCTAAATAACAAGATGGTTAGATTTAAATGTGTAAGTCGCTCTGGATAAGAGTGTCTGCTAAATGATGTAAATGTAAATGATTTAGGATGGTCATAGGGATACTATTTCACATTTTGTGAAAAAATAAATACAATACCATATTTCCTTCTGTAATTCATAATAGTTTATTAATTGATTCAGAATTTGAAAGATGTATTCAAATAGCAAAATGTGAGGAATTTAATTTGTCAAGTGGGGAAATTGCAATTGCTAAAACATGCAAAAACGATTAATTGTAAGAACCTTAATATAATTTTCCCTCATTAAAGTAACATCACCAGGAACTTCATTGTGGCCACTGACAAGAGGACATAACCAGAGTTCAAACATAAAGACATGGATTAACCAAGTGTGTCCAGGGGTCACTTTTCAAGTAATTCCATGGGCCATCTGTTAAGGTACGTAGACTTGCATGTCCTTGCAGGGAGGGAGTGTTCTGATATTCTCTGTGAAGCCAACATTTGAGCAAGATACCAGTGAAATACTTTCTCTTTGCTTCAGTGTCTCATACGTGGAAGTCCACACTTGCACAGGATGTTCCGTAACACTGCTTAATCTGGTTATAATGCACTGTAAGCATGTCATAAGCATGCTTGTATAATGTATATTGCTATGTATGATGTCTTGTTAGCATGTCATAAGGATCCAGACATATAGAGAGACATTATATATTAGGCTTAGGCTATAAGCCTTATAACGAGACACTAGCTAAGTTTCCATTAACTTTGTCCAGTGATTTTTTGTCAACATTTAGAAAGTCAGCATAGAATGTAGATGGGAAGATTCCCTGCCAGGTGCATTTCTATTAAACTGTGTTGTGTCGACAAAAACAGCTGGACATAATGACATCACAAGTAACACCTAACACCTTTTTCTCAAAAACCTAGTTGAGTATGTTGAATAAAGTGGTTGAAGTGTTTTCCATTATCCATTTAGGCAAATTGTGCGACAGCCTGTATGCCCTCCCACATATCTGTTTCATGTCTCCATTATCCATTTAGGCAAATTGTGCGACAGCCTGTATGCCCTCCTACATATCTGTTTCATGTCTCAGGTAGCCCGTAAAAGCCAGCATGGATAGAATGCGAGATTTGACTAATATGTTTTCTAATCATTCTCATGTGCCTACATATAGGCCTAGTAGGGATCAGAAACTATTTGATGTTGAAACTTCAAATTGCAATGTAAAGCAATACATCTTCTTGATGCTCCTGGAAACACCACAAGCAATTCTTGTCTTTATAGTAGAGTAAATTGTTTTAGCAAGAAGTGGGCATTTAGAATGGAATGTGGAGTGGAGCTTTATAGTTATGTGATCAGAGTTACGTGCCCCGTGTAGGCCTACTGTAAAAATTATTCGGCAATCATCATTTATTTGAAAAACAGCGTTTCCATCATCATTTATCGCAATAAAGAAACTTCAACAAAAAAAATCCACCCCTGTTGAACGGATACTTAAAAATAAATAAAATCTGTTGTTCTCCTACTTCTGCCGTTTCCATTAACAATGTTGCAATTATTTATTTTGCGACATTGCTTTTGTCTAATAAACCTGGGTCAATGGAAAACGACCTATTATTATCCTGGACTACTATGACAGGTTCAGCATGAGAGTCTCAGCAGGGTCAGTAACAACAGAGTGGGTCAGTAACAACAGAGTGGGTCAGTAACAACAGAGTGGGTCAGTAACAACAGAGTGGGTCAGTAACAACAGAGTGGGTCAGTAACAACAGAGTGGGTCAGTAACAACAGAGTGGCACAGACAGTTTGCCCTGGCGATTAACATGATTGTGAAGTCTGCTGAAGCTGAGTGCCGGGGCCTCCGAACCAAATCTGGGTTGCGACAGTCAGGACCTTGATGGACGACCTGACAGTCACTACAGACAATGCCAGGATACAGGTGGATTCTGCAAGGGCTGAAGATGCTGATCGGATGGGCCAGGATGAGCTTCAAGCCAACAAAGTCGAGTTCCATGGAGCTGAAAAAGGGCAAGGTCATGGAAAGATTACGCTTCAACATTGCAGGTAAGCCGATCCCAACCATCTCGGAAAAAACAGTGAAGAGCTTTGGCAAGGTGTTCAACAGCAGCCTGAAGGACTCAACATCAATTCAGGATTCTTGTCAAGAGCTGGAGAGCTGGCTGAGAGCGGTAGATCGGTCTGGACTGCCTGGCAAGTTTAAGGTGTGGATGTATCAGCACGGTATCCTTCTGAGGATACTCTGGCCTCTGCTTATCTCCAGCGCCCCCATCTCCACTGTCGAGAACTTGAAGAGGAAGGTCAACAGCTATCTCCGGAGGTGGCTGAGGTTGCCACGGAGTCTGAGCAGCGTCGCCCTCTACTGGAACAAGAACATTGTCAAGACAACTCTGAGACCAGATATCACCCTGGTCTCAGAGTACACAAAGACCATTATCATTCTGGAACTGACAGTCCCTTGGGAAGATCGTCTAGCGGAGGCGTACAAGAGGAAGAGGCCCAAGTACGAGGGACTGGTCATCGACTGCTGGAAGCATGGCTGGAAGGCACATGCCTATGGAAATAGGCTGCAGGGGTTTTACAGAGCCTACAGCACTCTGCATCAATGGAGAGCCCTCACCAGCACCAACGAGGCAGCTGAAAATGTATAGTTCAAGCCTGAGCAGATATTGTTAGATGAACACATTACAGCACTAAGCAGATATTGTTAGATGAACACATTACAGCACAAAGCAGATATTGTTAGATGAACACATTACAGCACTAAGCAGATATTGTTAGTTGAACACATTACAGTACTAATCAGATATTGTTAGATGAACACAATATTTAAGTTAATTCAACTAAACTAGTAATGTAGACAACTTATAAGATATGTTTAGCAAACTCAAAATATATATTTTTTCACACTCAATTGCGAAAAGTTTAGTTAATTTACAAAGTTTTGTAGCCAATTACCAAGGTAGGCCTCTTTCCTATAGAGTGCAATACCCTGTGAGGATTAGATGTTCAGCATAAAGCCACGGAACCAACAACAGACTTTAGAGAATCACTGTTGTTTTACAGTTACCATAGATCAGGGTCATGTCTCTGTCCCTGGGAGTAATTTACTGTGCATTACACATTTTACTTCTGTTGGCTGTTGTATTTTTAAACCATTTGTTGTAAAAAAAAAAGAAGAAAAAAAAAGAAGATGTTTTCTGATTGAATAATTGGATTGAGAGACAGACAACAGCTTCTGAAAGAGGAGAAAGGGGGAGGGGGAGGGGTCAGAGTTCCGGCTATAAAGAGTGATGTCAACAGTCAGAGACTACACTCTAACCACAGAACGCTCAAGGGATTTGAACATCAGTGGAGCACTGATACCTTTAAGAAAAGGTAAGACATCACCATTCTTTTTGCTTCACAGCTTTGTAGTTTTGTAGTGGGAGGGATGAAGGAAGAGCTTTACTCTGTGGACATCAAAAGGACATTCTAACAACAGAGGATGTTGTAGCTGCAAATAGGTTGAATAATTGACACTTCAACGCCTACACAGTTTTCAACTGGCTTTAAAACGGAATTGATGCTGACATGATATTACCGCTGTAATATAGTTGAAAATAAGTTGGTAAATGCTTCAACTTGTAGCAAACCATTTATATTTCGACATTGGGACAACAGTTGCACTTCAATGAACATTACACACTCCTTAATTAGGAGCCTCAAATGTTATAGTATCATAGAACAGGTATTTCCTGTCTACCCTGTTAATACCCATGTCAGTCAGATTTAGTAGGGGACAGTAAAAGGTATTAAGTGAATTACGTTGTAAGGATTATTTTTGTCACTCAGGTCAATGATAGAAAAGTAACATATCATCCCTCCTGTAATTGCATTAAAATGTACAACACTCAGGCATATAGCTACTCAATGTAATTAATTGATATCTGATACTGGAAATGCCAGTGGGTTAAATCCCTGGTAGCCTACTGGCAGTGTCTGCCATTTGTAGGAGAAATGTGCTACTATTGCATTGTGGAACAGAGCTCTCTGATAAAGACAGCTGAATGCTGACAATCTAGTCGAGTCTTAACTTCTTATAGACTACTGAAATATAGTCAACTACTACCTGTAAATTATACACTCTCTGTAACACTCTCCAAATGCAACTCAAGAAGGCCGCTCTCAATGTTCCTCAATACCATGGTGTCTGTGGAGGCTGCTGAGGGGAGGACGAAGCCATGTGTTTGATGTATTTGATACCATTCCACTCATTCCACTCCAGCCATTACAACGAGCCTGTCCTCTCCAATTAAGGTGCCAACAACCTCCTGTGCATGGCGTATCCATTTGGGACACTTCTGGAAGCACTATCCAGGAATCCACTGCAATTGATTGAATACCGTCCTTGTATTGAGATCAGGACCATGGACAGCAACATTGTTGAGGATAGAAAGTGATACCGTCCCAAAATACAAACCAGAGAAATGTTAATAGTGGACTTAAAGTAGTTTTTTCGGTTCCACTAAAATGAGATCATTCTTCTTCTTCTTTTTATTCCTTCTATGAGTATTGATACTGTTCTGATCTCATTTTATTATCTTCATCTATCCGCTGTAAATGTTTCAGGAAAATAAGACACCTTGTGACCTTGTGAATGATTTTGGGGGGGCTTGGTCAATATGTGTAATCCACCAGGGATGTAGGATGTAACCCCTCCTTTTAGATGGACTTTGAGCCGTGAGGAGAATAGAGCATTACATGAGAATGTGCTACCTTGTAAATCCTGCCCAGGTACTTTTAGCTACTGTAAGGGTCTCTGTGACTCTGCAGTCTATTGGATGAGCGTTGTCAATAGCAGCAGTACTTCGAAAAGCTAATCCCCAGCCAAGATTTGGCTCAGGACAACTAACAGTGATGCTGTAATCTCATTCCACCAGATTATTCCCTAGTCCTCAACATGGATGGAGCATCCTTTCATCCATAACTCATTGGTGAATCAGGGGTTATGCCTGATTGGGATTGAGATTCACTTTTTGTTGTCATTTTCATGAACTCACGCGTTTTGTTTTGTTTTCCACAGAAATCTTCCTGAAATTGCTGGAAGATGTCTAAGTAAGCCCCCACCTGATCTTCAATTAGACTACATGTTGATAGCATTGCAACATTATTGAACGTCATACATGGTCTATTTTACTATTACTACATTACTAGTAAAACTTTGTTTTGTTTGTTTGGCTAATGTAATTGGCTGTTTGCAAGCACACCTTGCCCTAAAGAGCCTCTCAATCAGTAGAGAGCCCAGATGCAGATGGATCTATTGAATTAACCTGTTCTCCCACCCACTACATCTAACTTTGACTATCTCAGGTGTCACAGAGTAGATGTCCTTAGATGTACCTCCTCATCTTCACTATACTTGAGAATAATTCCACTTAGAGGTAGCAACAATCCTCTATTTTATATACACTCTTGGAAAAAAGGGTTACAAAAGGATTCTTCAGCTGCCCCCATAGGAGAACCCTTTTGGGTTCCATGGAGAACCCTCAAAGGGTTATCCTATGGGGACAGCCGAAGATCCCTTTTAGGTTCTAGATAGCACCTTTTTTTCTAAGCGTGTCCCTATCTCTTTCATGTAGGCCTATCTGCTATAACCCTGCTTGATGGCATCCGTTAAATGGAGCAGAATAAAAAAAACGTCTCTAACAAATACGTCAAGAAATCCGTTTAAGTACTAATTTGTCTTCCAATCAACCTTTGTTTTTTCACTACTTGAAATAAACCTTGGGTGTTTTATCCTTTCAGAATGTGCCACTTTGGTCACTAAAGTAAGACAGAGACATTTTTTAAATACTGCTGAGTTTGACCGTTTAGTTTGATATTTTCTCAGGGTATACAAGAAAACCTCTGGGAATGGCGCAGTAAGTGAAAACCTTTTCTGTCTCTCTATTACTTGCCCCATAGAAATAAAGAGTGTCACCTATTGGTGATGAATGTGATGAGCTCCAGAAACATTCTGTGTTTGACAATATTTTTTTCTTTCTATCTTCAGCTTACCCTTTACCTGGGTAAGAGAGACTATGTCGACCATGTTCAGAATGTGGACTCCATCGGTAAGTCTTACTTTTATACTTGGCAGTTATGTATCGTAGGTTTTAGACATTTGTGTTGAAGGGAAAATCTCTCAAATCTCTACCCATCGTTGTTACAGAGGGAGTGGTGAAAATTGATCCTGCAGACCTCGGAGGCAAGAAAGGTACATTTTATTTTACAATACTATTTTTTACAGATAAGTTGCTAATGTTAGTAGTTCTGCGGAATGGCTCATGTTTATCCTGGTTTCTAGTCTTTGTGCAGCTGGCTTGTGCCTTCCGTTATGGCCGTGAGGACCTGGATGTCATTGGACTTTCCTTCAGGAAAGACATCTGGGTCAAGCACCTCCAGTTGTACCCTGCTGACCACAAACCCACCCTCACTCCCATGCATGACTGCCTTCTCAAGAAGGCAGGAGAGCAGGGCCATGCCTTCACGTTCGACATTCCCATAAACCTTCCCTGCTCTGTCACACTCCAGCCAGGACCAGATGATGCTGGAAAGGTAGGCCCTTGCCTTGCTAATATTTTTTTTTTTTAGCCCAGATATATTAAATTCCATGATATTTACATTGGCCTTTTGTGTATACCTAGGCTTGCGGCGTGGACTTTGAAGTCAAGACCTACATTGCAGATGTGGCAGACCCAGAAGATAAACTTGACAAGAAGTGAGTAGCTGTCCAAATCCTTGTCTTCTTTTATTGAAAAACTTTACACACTAAGACATGGAAATTCTCTACCTGTAACAACAATTGTTTCAACACACCCAGCGAAGAACATAACAGAATAAAAAAAGAGAAAAAATAAAAGAAAAGGAACTGAGAAGAACGGGAAAAAACAAGGGGGCGCGCCAAAGAAGCGACGTAAAAGCAAAATAGAAAAAGAAAGAACAAAACCCCAAAAAGGAAAAAAAAAGGGGGTGGTGGAAGGAAAAAGGAAAATGACTATTCAAGAATTTTTAATTGCGAAAGCGGGGAAAAAAAAATTTAAAAAATTTTTAAAACCCCCATTCAAAAAAAAATCCACCCACGAAAAGTTTCGTCGGGTACCCCCTTTTTAGCCTTCGACTTAGCAAAGGGGATAGACTGGAGGGAAAAGCTCATCGCTTTCTATTGTTTAAAACCCTTGAAATTTTTTTTAGAAATTGCCGCTAATGTCTGAATCTTGTTAAAATAATTTTCAAAGCTGAATAGATCTAAGAGCTCATGATGTAAAACTTGTCCTCTTGCCTTCTTGAGTTACTTTTTTCTATCTGCTATCTCTCCCCCCTTCCATTTTCTCCTTTCTCTCCTTCTTTCCCTTTTCCTTTCCCTTTTAGAACCGCCCTCTATCGTCTAAATCTTGCCCCAGGATTCTAAATGCCCTTTGCCCCTGGAATGGCTTATTCCCTTGTATGACCCTTTTTAAGGGGGGACACGTAGGCTTGCGGCCGCGACCATTAAATTCTGACAGACCAGGTCAAACAGGAAAAGGAAGATTAAATGCCCCAAAAAAAATAGGAGGAATAGACAGGAAAAAGGCGGGGGACCAGAAAGAAGAAGGAAAGCAAGTAAAGCAACAAAGAAAGAGAAAGAAGAAGAAAGAAGGAGGAAGGAAGAAAAAGAGGAAAGGAAGGAAAAAAGGAAGCAGAAAAGACAGATCACGAGAGAAGAACGAAATCCAGAGAAGGAACAGAGGGAGAGAGAGAGAAGACGAGCGGTAGAGAGAAAGAGGAGAGAATAAGCACTAAATAAACGAAAGACAGAGAAGAAGAAAGACCGAAGAAGAAAGCTAAGAGGCAAGCGAAGCGCGAGAGAGACGCGTCCTCTACTCTCAGATGACTCTCTCTTTTTCTCTCAGAGTCTCGCTCGCTCTCTCGTCTCGTCTCTCTCTTCCATCTCTCTCTCTATTCTCCTCTCCTATCTCTCTCTCCCCTCTCTCTCTCTCGCTCTCTCTCTCGCTCTATCTCTCGCTTCTCTCTTTGCTCTCCTACTCTCTCTCTCGCTCTCTCTCCTCTGTTATCTCTCTCTCCCTCCCTCTCTCTCTCTCTCTCTCGCTCTCTCCCTCCTCTTTGCCACTTTTCCGTCCTTCCTTGTAGAGACACTGCCCGTCTAATCGTCCGTAAGATCCAGTTTGCCCCAGATGCAACTGGTGCTACTGGGCCCAAGGCTGACATCTGCAAGAGCTTCATGATGTCTGACAAGCCTGTCCACCTGGAGGCCTCTCTGGAAAAGGAGGTGAGTTAAACAGCGCATATACTGTAGCAACTGTATTAGAATACATAATAAAAAGGGGTTGTAAAAATTAGAATTGTTTTTCTTATATTGATATCAGATCTATTACCATGGAGATCCGATCAATGTCAACGTCAAAGTCAAGAATGAAACCGCCAAAACAGTGACAAAAATTAAAGTCACCGGTAAGTCTGACACCACTGACGCTGAATGTTAGAACTAAAATACTATACTTGAGTTGGTAACAGTGGGCTCTTTCCTACAGTTGACCAGACTACAGACGTGGTGCTCTACTCCGCGGACAAATACACCAAAACCGTACTTTGTCAAGAGTTTGGGTAAGTAGACAGAAACCCACCCTTTCCTCATCATCTTCTAAGAAGTGCTCTTCTCCTGATCCACTAACATCTCCAACCTTCTCTTACAGAGAGACAATAGATGCCAATAGCACATTCGATAAATCCCTTACCATCACCCCCCTACTGGCCGACAACAAGGAGAAGCGTGGTCTGGCGCTGGACGGCAGACTGAAGGATGAGGACACCAACCTGGCCTCCAACACTATGTGAGTGGCAGTCTACATCATTACCACATTCAAATCTAGACTGGAACAACCTGAGTCCATCTCTTTCTTCTACTTTCTCCTCATCAGTATCAGAGATGGTATGGATAAGGAAGTGTTGGGAATCTTGGTCTCCTACAAAATCAAGGTCAACTTGATGGTGTCTTCAGGAGGGTAAGTCTTAGATTAAATACGTGTTTGCTTGTAAGCCAATGCCATGTTTCACATTGAATTTTAGGAAAATATGAAATGCTAAGCAGTTATGTTCTTCACTCCCGTTTAGCTTATTGGGGGGTCTCACAGCCAGTGACGTACAGGTGGAGCTCCCCCTGATCCTCATGAACCCCAAACCCCAAGGTAAACTAATAGTTACCCAATGAATAATAGGATTTGCCATGTCTAATAAACTCTGTCAAAGTATAACTGATGTGGTGAGGGTGCAACGTCTCTCTCTACTCATTCAAAGTTGCTATTCAATGTTACTAATGTAATCTTTAAACTCTTTTCCCCTTCTACCATAATGAACCCCGTTACATGAGCAGATGTGTGAGTAAAAAATTATAGAATCTAAACAAAAATGTAATACGTATTGGTAGCATACGCTGCAGTCTTCAGCTTTAATGAAACATTATGCACATTTTGTATTATGCACATTTTAAAGACATTTTGAACTTACCTCATGACCTTTGTTTCCTTTATGATCTGCAGAGGTCTCCCGGTGGGAGAGTGAAGGTGAGCTTCTATCTAACAGATTTATAGACCCTAATGTACAGTAGATATACCTTTGATGTGAAGTGCCCGTTCATTGGAGGGCTGTTGAACTATGGTCTTTATAAAGGGCAGGCCCTTACTATCAGCAGCATTGGATAGCACTAGTATAAAGGCACCCACAGTTGTATTTCAATGAAGTTCAAACAACTGTAGATTAATCAGATGATCCTGTGACTGAATAGAATGATTCTAATTATGACATTACTTTAGCACCAGAGTTCACTGCCTCAGTTCATGTGCCATCATTCACTGTAGTCGTCTGTGACAGTCACCCAGCGGCCATATTTATTGCATGTGTTTTGTGAATCCCCAGAATGCATGTTACCCTTGAGGCTGAGTAGATTCCCCCAGCAGAAGAAAGATGAGGAATGAGGGACTGCAAAGTTGAATGGAGCAAAGCTGTTGATGGCTGTCCAGATTGAAAGGATGATGACCAAACCAAAGAAGAAAATGGAATACCTCATAGGAAAAACCATCAATAAAGAATCTTGATTTCTCTTACTATTACATGCATTTTAGTGTTGTATTTGAGTGGTTTTGTCAATGTGAGCCTGTACTGTAATGTATGTAGATATCCAGCCATCCGTATGAGTCATAGAATTTCACTCGTAACTTAATTAACCATTCACTCTGACCTTCTCACATAAAACCATGGGGAGGTCAATGAACACATTCAGTATAAAGGGGTTCATTGGTTTGCGGATAAATCTCCCTTCTAAACTACTCCAACAAACAGGGAGTCCGGTTGTACTCAGTTTATGATTTTCAAAGAATTGTGTTTTTCTGTGGTATGTATGTATGTTTTTGACTGATAAGTCATTGAACCAAATAAAAACACCACATATACTTCTAAGACTGGGTATTCATCCATTCATTGCAGTGCATTGAGGGTAACTGTCCATGGTGCTGAACTGGCATCAGGTAATGTCAGGTCTTCATAGCAATACATGTTTTATAATGTTCTCTACATCAGGCACACAGGCACAGAAAACCATGTAAATATGTCAATGCTTTACTGCAATGGAAAATGATAGGTATACAGTATTCTACATCACTAGCACTAATATCAGAGGGCAATATGTAAACACGTCTCACTAAACACGTTTGCAGTTCTGTTAGTGGCTTCAAGCAACCTCCTGGTATTAGATGGTCTCTGAGCAGGGGGAGTAATCATAGTAATCACAGATCACTCTGGGTTGGCTGAGTTTAAGAACTTAATTCTCCATACACATCACAGGCTTACAGCCCAGAGCCCATGGCTGTAGAAGGACTCACTGTCCAGAAAAGAGCCGACACTAGAGATGGCCATGAACAAACGAACAGCCAAAGTGTCTCCCTCGCCCTCCACTGGTCCTGCTGTCTTTTGGCTGCCCACTCCACAGGGTAAGTAGATTGCATAGCTTTCTTCTAATTTTATGCATAAATCTAACCTTATGTGCATTCATTTATGTAGGTCAGGTGTGACAAATCACAGTGTAATACTGCATATTAAGATATGATCTATCCATTTCAGTGCTTGTAGACAATATCATATACAGTACCAGTCAAAAGTTTGGACACACCTACTCATTCAAGGGTTTTTCTTTATTTTAACTATTTTCTACTTTATAGAATAATAGTGAAGACATCAAAACTATGAAAGAACACATATGGAATCATGTAGTAACCAAAAAATTGTTAAACAAATCAAAATATATTTTATATTTGAGATTCTTCAAAGTAGCCACCCTTTGCCTTGATGACAGCTTTGCACACTCTTGGCATTCTCTCAACCAGGAATGAGGAATGCTTTTCGAACAGTCTTGAATGAGTTCCCACATATGCTGAGCACTTATTGGCTGCTTTTCCTTCACTCTGCGGTCCAACTCATCCCAAACCATCTCAATTGGGTTGAGGTCGGGTGATTGTGGAGGCCAGATCATCTGATGTAGCACTCCATCACTCTCCTTCTTGGTCAAATAGCCCTTACACAGCCTGGAGGTGTGTTTTGGGTCATTGTCCTGTTGAAAAACAATTGATAGTCACACTAAGCGCAAACCAGATGGGATGGCGTATCGCTGCAGAATGCTGTGGTAGCCATTCTGGTTAAGTGTGCTTTGAATTTTTAATATATCACTGACAGTGTCACCAGCAAAGCATCCCCACACCATCACACCTCCTCCTCCATGCTTCACGTTGGGAACCACACATGCGGAGATCATCCATTCACCTACTCTGCATCTCACAAAGACAGCGGTTGGAACCAAAAATCTCAAATTTGGACTCATCAGACCAAAGGACAGATTTCCACCAGTCTAATGTCCATTGCTCGTGTTTCTTGGCCCAAGTAAGTCTCTTCTGATTATTATTGTCCTTTAGTAGTGGCTTCTTTGCAGCAATTCGACCATGAAGGCCTGATTCACGCAGTGTCCTCTGAACAGTTGATGTTGAGATGTGTCTGTTACTTGAACTCTGTGAAGCATTTATTTGGGCTGCATTCTGAGGTGCAGTTAACTCTAATGAACTTATCCTCTGCAGCAGAGGTAACTCTGGGTCTTCCTTTCCTGTGGCGGTCCTCATGAGAGCCAGTTTCATCATAGCGCTTGATGGTTTTTGCGACTGCACTTGAAGACACTTTCAAAATTCTTGTAATGTTCCATATTGACTGACCTTCATGTCTTAAAGTAATGGTGGACTGTCGTTTCTCTTTGCTTATTTGAGCTGTTCTTGCCATAATATGGACTTGGTCTTTTACCAAATAGGGTTATCTTCTGTACACCACCCCTACCTTGTCACAACACAACTGATTGGCTCAAACGCATTAAGAAGGAAATAAATTCCACAAATTAACCTCTACGGGATCGGTGTCCCGTATACAGGACGGTTGAACTAACGTGCGCTAATGTGATTAGCTTGACTGTTGTAAGTAACAGCAAACTTTCCAGGACATACACATGTCTTATATGGGCAGAAAGCTAAAATTATTGTTAATCTAACTGCACTGTCCAATTGACAGTAGCTATTACAGTGAAAGAATACCATGCTATTGTTTGAGGAGAGTGCACAACAACAAAAACTTATCACGGCAACTGGTTTGATACATTCACCTCTGAAGGTAAATAATGTACTTACATTCATTAATCTTGCTCTGATTTGTCATCCTAAGGGTCCCAGAGATAAAAATGTAGCATAGTTTGTTTGATAAAATCAATTTTTATATTCAAATGTAGAAACTGGGTTCTACAGTTTGAACCCCTGCTGTCTCTGGCTCCACACCCACCCCGCCCGGCCATCTAGATGTGTGAAAGTTAGTGTATAAGCTAATGATCCATCATGTATGTTCCTGGCAGTGTGTAAACTTATATTATGTATTACCATGTCATTTTTGTATGTTCTCTATAGTTATGTACTTGAAAATGTATCAATTGATAATTCGGCACATTTGGGCAGACTTGATACAAAATAGTCCAGTATTGCAATGCTTCACTGGATCAATCTGAAACTTTGCACACACACTGTGGCCACAATCTAAATTGCACTTAAACTGCAATATTATATTGTAGCCCTTTCTCTCGCATTTCAAAGATAGAAAACACTTTTTGTTTTTTTGAAAAAAAAGGTCCGATCCTTAAGAGGTTAATTGAAATGGATTCCAGGAGACTACCTCATGATGCTGGTGGAGAGAATGCCAAGAGTGTGCAAAGCTGTCATTTACATTTTAGTCATTTAGCAGACGCTCTTATCCAGAGCGACTTACAGTTTAGTGAGTGCATACATTTTCATACTTTTTAATACTGGCCCAAGCTGTCATCAAGGCAAAGGGTGGCTAAAAATAAAAATATATTTTGATTTGTTTAACACTTTTTGGGTTACTACACTACATGATTCCATATGTGTTATTTCATAGTTTTGATGTCTTCACTATTATTCTACAATGTAGAAAATAGTAAAAATAAAGAAAAAGCCTTGAATGAGTAGGTGTGTCCAAACTTTTGACTGATACTGTATATTCCTTCAGTTTGGGAAAAGCACTCACACCTCAGGTTGCTCACTGTAATGTGGGAATAATTAGATGATATCTTGAAGAAAATTAAAAACCGCTAGATATTTCTACAAAAAATTGGCAACTTGGAAGTAAAATTGTAAAATGGGCTATATTCTTCTATTACCCTTTCCCTTAGGCGAATTCTATCTTTATGCATCTGTTATGTTATTGTCTTCTACAGGATAATTGTTTATCTCTTTTTGCCTTTGCCATATAGAGCATGCTGAAAGACAGAGGGGACCCCAGCCCGTGGCTGAAGATGGGCAGGATGGAGGGCAGGGTGGAGGGCAGGGTGGAGGGCAAGGTGGGGGACAGGGTGGAGGGCAGGGTGAGGGGCAGGGTGGAGGGCAGGGTGAGGGGCAGGGTGAAGGGCAGGGTGGGGGGCAGGGTGGAGGACAGGGTGGAGGGCAAGGTGGAGAGCAGGCAGAAGAGTGTGTGGAGGAGAAGAGAGAGGAGGACAGTAAGAGCTGCTGTGCTCGCTGCCCGCTGAGAGCCATGCGTCGAGCTGCGTGGGGCCTGGTCCTTGGGTGCTGTGTGGCCCTGGCGTGGGCAGGGGGTACACACAGTGCCAAGCAGTCTCTGGAACAACTCCATGCCCCCTTCTTCACTATCTGGTTCTGCAGTACATGGAACCTCCTCCTCTTCCCCCTCTACTACCTGGGACACCTGCTAGGGGCAGAGCAGAGACAGTGGCCCACAGCCCGCTTCAGGTGAAACAACAGCTAAAGAGTCATCTGACGGGCAGGTGTTGGGCCCATTTCAGGTTGAGGGAAGGTTGGCAAGGCTCTGTATGGCAGGAATATATAGGAAGTCATGATCATCTCTTGTTTTTGTTATAACACTCATCTGGATTGATTCTCTATTTTGGATAGAGTGTAATGGAAGGATTCACATTAACTTTGGATTTGGCAAATGACTAAATGGATGGTTTTCTTTTTAGGGAATATAGAAAACCTATTGCCACAAACCCGCTGTATCAAACAAGATATTTCAGACATGCTGCTTTGTGCTTTAATCTGTGTGAGGCTAGCAGCTAAACAAACATCTTAAAAACAACCCTGCTGTTTATCCAGAGGATTGGTAGAGAGGTTGACCAGGTCACCAGGCGTCTCCGTCTTCCTGTATCCCAGGCAGTGCAGTGGCTTCCTGGTGGAGGACGGCATGACAGTGAGAGTGCTCCTGAAGGGTGCAGCACCGTTCTCAGTGCTGTGGAGTCTCTCAGGCTACCTGTACCTGCTGGCCCTTTGTCGTATCTCAGCGGGCGATGCCAGCGCCATTCTCTGCTGTAGCCAGGCCTTCATCTTCCTCCTCTCCTGGATCGGACTCAACGACCGGTTCATGGGTGTAAGGGTAAGAGCATCCCCTCTGTAAGTGCTGGATAAGGGGGGATGGGGGTGGATGGACAGTGCTACACAAAGCATCTACAAATGTAGATACTCATTTTAAGCATCCAGATATTCACATCGAAGCCTCCATAAATACATTCTCAAAGGTATAGATCTCCCTTGAGAGAACGGTGTTCGTCGTTTAATTCAAAGGAAACGGTACTGTACTGAACGACCAGTTGAGGCACGTTGTGATTATGGCGGCCCAGAGACCGATTGTGTATGGTGTGCTGCACAAGTTTTGAGATGTATAATGGTCACACCCATATTGATCAGGCCACACCCACCCACCAAACAGGAGGGTCACACTTTATTTGGGTAGTCTGGATTTTCCATCTGCAGATGCTCTACAGATGGTCATACTATCAACAAACTAACTGTTGATCAGCAACTGCTTGCTACAGTTATGGTTAGGGTTAGGTTTAGAATAAGGGTAAGGGTTAAGGTTAGGGCTAGGGTTAGGGTAAGGGTTAAGTTTAGGGTAAGGATAAAGGTTAAGGTTAGGGTTAGAGCTAAGGTTCGGGTTATACATTGTTAGTTGAAATGTTACTGATAGTCTGTAGATACGGCAGTCTGTAGAGCATCTACAGATGGACTATCCAAGTCAAGGTTAAGGTTGGGGTTAGTAGATTGTTAGTTGAAATGTTACTGATAGTCTGTACAAAGCTCTCCCTCGCCCTCCATTTGGCAAATCTGACCATAACTCTATCCTCCTGATTCCTGCTTATAAGCAAAAACTAAAGCAGGAAGCACCAGTGACTCGGTTAATAAAAAAGTGGTCAGATGACACAGATGCTAAGCTACTGGACTGTTTTGCTAGCACAGACTGGAACATGTTCCGGGATTCTTCAGATAGCATTGAGGAGTACACCACATCAGTCACTGGCTTCATCAATAAGTGCATAGATGACGTCGTCCCCACAGTGACCGTACGTACATACCCCAACCAGAAGCCATGGATTACAGGCAACATCCGCACTGAGCTAAAGGGTAGAGCTGCCGCTTTCAAGGAGCGGGACTCTAACCCGGACTCTTATAAGAAATCCCGCTATGCCCTCCGACGAACCATCAAACATGCAAAGAGTCAATACAGGACTAAGATTGAATCGTACTACACCGGCTCTGACGCTTGTCGGATTTGGCAGGGCTTGAAAACTATTACAGACTACAAAGGGAAGCACAGCCGCAAGCTGCCCAGTGACACAAGACTTCCAGACGAGCTAAACCACTTCTATGCTCGCATCGAGGCAAGCAACACTGAAGCATGCATGAGAGCACCAGCTGTTCTGGATGACTATGTGATCATGCTCTCCGTAGCCGATGTGAGTAAGACCTTTAAACAGGTCAACATTCACAAGGCCGCAGGGCCTGACGGATTACCAGGACGTGTACTCCGAGCATGTGCTGACCAACTGGCAAGTGTCTTCACTGACATTTTCAACATGTTCCTGACTGAGTCTGTAATACCAACATGTTTCAAGCAGACCACCATAGTCCCCGTGCCCAAGGACACTAAGATAACCTGCCTAGATGACTACCGACCCGTAGCACTGACGTCTGTAGCCATGAAGTGCTTTGAAAGGCTGGTCATGGCTCACATCAACACCATTATCCCAGAAACCCTAGACCCACTCCAATTTGCATACCGCCCCAACAGATCCACAGATGATGCAATCTCTATTGCACTCCACACTGCCCTTTCCCACCTGGACAAGAGGAACACCTACGTGAGAATGCTATTCATTGACTACAGCTCAGCATTCAACACCATAGTGCCCTCAAAGCTCTTCACTAAGCTAAGGATCCTGGGACTAAACACCTCCCTCTGCAAATGGATCCTGGACTTCTTGACGGGCCGCCCCCAGGTGGTAAGGGTAGGTAACAACACATCTGCCACACTGATCCTCAACACGGGGGCCCCTCAGGGGTGCGTGCTCAGTCCCCTCCTGTACTCCCTGTTCACCCATGACTGCATTGCCAGGCATGACTCCAACACCATCATTAAGTTTGCCGACGACACAACAGTGGTAGGCCTGATCACTGACAATGATGAGACAGCCTATAGGGAGGTCAGAGACCTGGCCGTGTGGTGCCAGGATAACAACCTCTCCCTCAACGTGACCAAGACAAAGGAGATAATTGTGGACTACAGGGAAAAAAGAGGACTGAGCACGCCCCCATTCTCATCGACAGGGCTGTAGTGGAACAGGTTGAGAGCTTCAAGTTCCTTGGTGTCCACATCACCAACGAACTATCATGGTTCAAACACACCAAGACAATCGTGAAGAGGGCACGACAAAGCCTATTCCCCCTCAGGAGACTGAAAAGATTTGGCATGGGTCCTCAGATCCTCAAAAGATTATACAGCTGCACCATCGAGAGCATCCTGACTGGTTGCATCACCGCCTGGTATGGCAACTGCTCGGCCTCCGACCGCAAGGCACTACAGAGGGTAGTGCGTACGGCCCAGTACATCACTGGGGCCAAGCTTCCTGCCATCCAGGACCTTTATACTAGGCGGTGTCAGAGGAAGGCCCTCAAAATTGTCAAAGACTCCAGCCACCCTAGTCATAGACTGTTCTCTCTGCTACCGCACGGCAAGCGCTACCGGAGTGCCAAGTCTAGGTCCAAAAGACTTCTCAACAGCTTCTACCCTCAAGCCAAAAGACTCCTGAACAGCTAATCATGGCTACCCGGACTATTTGCACTGCCCCCCCACCCCCACCACATCTTTTTACGCTGCTGCTACTCTGTTAATTATTATTTTTTTTTTTTATTTTTTTTTTCCACCTTTATTTAACCAGGTAAGCCAGTTGAGAACAAGTTCTCATTTACAACTGCGACCTGGCCAAGATAAAGCAAAGCAGTGCGATAAAAATAACACAGAGTTACATATGGGGTAAAAAACATAAAGTCAAAAATACAACAGAAAATATATATACAGTGTGTGCAAATGTAGCAAGTTATGGAGGTAAGGCAATAAATAGGCTATAGTGCAAAATTATTACAATAGTATTAACACTGGAATGCTAGATGTGCAAGAGATTATGTGCAAATAGAGATACTGGGGTGCAAAAGAGCAAAATAAATAACAATATAGGGATAAGGTAGTTGGGTGGGCTAATTTCAGATGGGCTGTGTACAGGTGCAGTGATCGGTAAGGTGCTCTGACAACTGATGCTTAAAGTTAGTGAGGGAGATAAGAGTCTCCAGCTTCAGAGATTTTTGCAATTCGTTCCAGTCATTGGCAGCAGAGAACTGGAAGGAATGGCGGCCAAAGGAGGTGTTGGCTTTGGGAATGACCAGTGAGATATACCTGCTGGAGCGCAGACTACGGGTGGGTGCTGCTATGGTGACCAATGAGCTAAGATAAGGCGGGGATTTGCCTAGCAGTGATTTATAGATGGCCTGGAGCCAGTGGGTTTGACGACGAACATGTAGTGAGGACCAGCCAACAAGAGCGTACAGGTCACAGTGGTGGGTAGCGTATGGGGCTTTGGAGACAAAACGGATGGCACTGTGATAGACTACATCCAATTTGCTGAGTAGAGTGTTGGAGGCTATTTTGTAAATGACATCGCCGAAGTCAAGGATCGGTAGGATAGTCCGTTTTACGAGGGCATGTTTGGCAGCATGAGTGAAGGAGGCTTTGTTGCGAAATAGGAAGCCGATTCTAGATTTAACTTTGGATTGGAGATTCTTTATGTGAGTCTGGAAGGAGAGTTTACAGTCTAACCAGACACCTAGGTATTTGTAGTTGTCCACATACTCTAGGTCAGACCCGTCAAGAGTGGTGATTCTAGTCGGGTGGGCGGGTGCCAGCAGCGTTCGATTGAAAAGCATGCATTTAGTTTTACTAGTGTTTAAGAGCAGTTGGAGGCTACTGAAGGAGTGTTGTATGGCATTGAAGCTCGTTTGGAGGTTTGTTAACACAGTGTCCAATGAAGGGCCAGATGTATACAAAATGGTGTCGTCTGCGTAGAGGTGGATCTGAGAGTCACCAGCAGCAAGAGCGACATCATTGATATACACAGAGAAAAGTGTCGGCCCAAGAATTGAACCCTGTGGCACCCCCATAGAGACTGCCATAGGTCCAGACAACAGGCCCTCCGATTTGACACACTGAACTCTATCTGAGAAGTAGTTGGTGAACCAGGCGAGGCAGTCATTTGAGAAACCAAGGCTATTTAGTCTGCCAATAAGAATGCGGTGGTTGACAGAGTCGAAAGCCTTGGCCAGGTCGATGATGACGGCTGCACAGTACTGTCTATTATCAATCGCGGTTATAATATCGTTTAGGACCTTGAGCGTGGCTGAAGTGCACCCATGACCAGCTCGGAAACCGGATTGCATAGCGGAGAAGGTACGGTGGTATTCGAAATGGTCGGTGATCTGTTTGTTAACTTGGCTTTCAAATACTTTCGAAAGGCAGGGCAGGATGGATATAGGTCTGTAGCAGTTTGGATCTAGAGTGTCACCCCCTTTGAAGAGGGGGATGACCGCGGCAGCTTTCCAATCTCTGGGGATCTCAGACGTTATGAAAGAGAGGTTGAACAGACTAGTAATAGGGGTTGCGACAATTTCGGCGGCTAGTTTTAGAAAGAAAGGGTCCAGATTGTCTAGCCCAGCTGATTTGTAGGGGTCCAGATTTTGCAGCTCTTTCAAAACGTCAGCTGTCTGAATTTGTGTGAAGGAGAAGCGGGGGGGGCATGGGCAAGTTTCAGCGGAGGGTGCAGAGTTGGTGGCCGGGGTAGTGGTAGTACGCCACAGGATGTTTTTGTGCTGGTCAAGGGCAGTCAAGTCTGAGGAGAACCAGGGGCTATATCGGTTCTTAGTTCTGTATTTTTTGAATGGGGCATGTTTATTTAAGATTGAGAGGAAATTACTTTTAAGGAACAACCAAGCATCCTCTACTGACGGAATGAGATCTATATCCATCCAGGATACCTGGGCCAGGTCAATTAGGAAGGCCTGCTCGCTAAAGTGTTTTAGGGAGCGTTTGACAGTGATGAGGGGTGGTCGTTTGACCGCGGACCCGTTACGGACGCAGGCAATAAGGCAGTGATCGCTGAGATCCTGGTTGAAGACAGCTGAGGTGTATTTAGAGGGTATGTTAGTCAGGATGATATCTATGAGGGTACCCATGTTTACGGATTTAGGGTTGTACCTGGTAGGTTCGTTGATAATTTGCGTGAGGTTGAGGGCATCTAGTTTGGATTGTAGGATGGCCGGGGTATTAAGCATATCCCAATTTAGGTCACCAAGCAGTACGAACTCTGAGGATAAATGGGGGGCAATCAATTCACATATGGTGTCCAGGGCACATCTGGGGGCTGAGGGGGGTCTGTAGCAAGCGGCAACAGTGAGAGACTTATTTCTGGAAAGGTGGATTTTTAGAAGTAGAAGCTCAAACTGTTTGGGCACAGACCTGGATAGTATGATAGAGCTCTGCAGGCTATCTCTACAGTAGATTGCAACTCCACCCCCTTTGGCAGTTCTATCTAGACGGAAAATGTTATAGTTGGGGATGGAAATTTCAGAATTTTTGGTGGCCTTCCTGAGCCAGGATTCAGACATTGCTAGAACATCAGGGTTGGCGGAGTGTGCTAACGCAGTGAATAACTCAAACTTAGGAAGTAGACTTCTGATGTTTACGTGCAAGAAACCAAGACTTTTGCGATTACAGAAGTCAGCAAATGATAGCGCCTGGGGAGTAGGAGTGATACTGAGGGCTGCAGGGCCTGGGTTAGCCTCTACATCACCAGAGGAACAGAGGAGGACTAGAATAAGGATACGGCTAAAGGCTTTAAGAACTGGTCTTCTAGTGCGTTGGGTACATAGAATAAAGGGGGCAGATTTCCGGGTGTTGTAGAAAAGATTCAGGGCATTATGTACAGACAAGGATATGGAAGGATATGAGTAAAGTGGGGGTAAACCTAAGCGTTGGGTAACAATGAAAGAGATAGTATCACTAGAGGCATCAATTGAGTCGGTCTCTGCGTGTATGGGGGGTGGGACAAAGGAGCTATCTAAGGCAGGTTTAGCTGGGCTGGGGGATCTACAGTGAAATAGTACAATTAGAAATAACCGAAACAACAATAAGCTAACCATGTTTGGGCTGAGGCTAAACATAAACAGGATGTAGTACCGTAAAAAGGAACAGTCCAGCAGACATCAGCTGTATAGCTGAGTTATCATAAGGTCCGGTGAACAGCAATAGGATAGTTCGGAGGCTGCTAAAGCACTAGCAGGTAAGAGGCCACGGCTAGCGTGTGCTAGCGGGCCGGGGCTAGCAGATGGAATCTTCGTGGTCGACGTCGTCGTAACCACATCAGACGATTTCGTCGGCAGACCAGTCGTGTAGGATCGGCGGGGCTCCGTGTCAACACTAGGTGGTCCCGTCCGGTTGACAGAGAGGTAGATAGCCGGGAGATGGGCCTAGCTCAGGATGATTAGCCAGACCACAGCGTCCATTTAGTTGAAGCTAGCTGGTAGCGATGAATCCGGAGTTAAAGGTCCAGTGATTCAGTGATTCCGGCAGAAAAACTGATATGTTCTGGGTCGATAACGCGCTGTGCAGACTGGCCGAATATCCGGTGATTAATATCCAGTGATTAAATTAATCCTGCAGAAAAAAAAATAATCCAATGTTCTGGGTGAAATACCGCTAACTGTGGCTAATAGCAAGTAGCTAGTTAGCTGGCTAGCTAGTTTCAACTGGAGATTTTATATAAAAGGTAAGTCAATAATAGAATCCGTTCCACATTGAGTGAGGCGGGTTGCAGGAAAGTATATTTTGTAGAAGGATGAAAAGTCTGATAGGGAAATATGTACGAAAAATACAAAAAAACAGGGTATTTACAGGCTATTTACAGACACACGACAAAAACAGAACTGCACTACTTCGCCATCTTGGATTTATGCATAGTCACTTTAACTCTACCCACATGTACATATTACCTCAACTACCTCAACTAGCCGGTGCCCCCGCACATTGACTCTGCACCGGTACCCCCCTGTATATATAGCCTCCCTACTGTTATTTTATTTTACTTCTGCTCTTTTTTTCTCAACAATTGTTTGTTGTTGTTGTTGTTTTATTTTACTTTTTTATTAAAAAATAAATGCATTGTTGGTTAAGGGCTGTAAGGAAGCATTTCACGGTAATGTCTACACCTGTTGTATTCGGCGCATGTGGCTAATACAATTTGATTTGATTTGATTAGATACAGTAGTCTGTAGAGCATCTACAGATGGACTATCCAAGTCAAGTGTTACAAACGGGAGGGCAAACACACATCAAAGGCTGTTAAAGAACGCTGCGGGAAACGGGTCGTTCAGTACAAACCGTCACCCAATGCAGCAAATGTTTAACCGAACTGAATGCACCTGGTAATTGTTGACCAGCTCCGTGGGGCTTGACTTTGATGAGTTTCGGGTCAATTTATTAATGTGCACCTAACCTTTAAAAGGTGCTGTTTATGGGTGAGTAAATCAATGACAGCCAAAGTGTTCCCTTTCATCAGTGTTGAGCTGTGATGTCTTCCTGTGTCTTTTTTCTCTATCAGATAGTGGCTGTCATTCTCTCCATCACAGGAATCGTCATGATGGCGTATGCTGATGGTTTCCATAGCGACTCAATCACAGGGGTGGCCCTGGGAGTAGGCTCAGCTTCAACCACTGCCCTGTACAAGGTCATCGCCATTAAAGTCCTACTCCATTCTCCTTTTCACTTCATTAATCACCTGATTTCCTTAACAAAAGGAACATCTCATTAGGTGGTCCAGGTGTCCTCATGACATGGCACGAGGTGGGACTTTCCTCTTTTGTTCTCTATTGCTCCTCTATTGTTCCCGCAAGCAAGCAGGGAGGCTGATGACATCAGAGGGCACCATCAGACCAACTCCTTCATTGGCCTACTCCTTGAAGTTTGCAGTTGTGTCTAAAAAACACTATTTTACGTAAAACATATTTTTTGACCCTTAAGTGTGTGTACATTACTGTATATATACGTGGGATATTGTTTTTCAACAGGAAACGTTTAAAAATAGCTGGAGTTTGTCTTTAAGTCTTCTTCCTGTACCAAAATCTTAACTGTTTTGGTGGGCAGACATAAGCACAAAGTATTCACTGAAGTTCTTTTTTTTTCTCCAAGGTGTTGTTTAGAAAGCGAGTGGGAGAGGTGCAGCCGGGTACGGCCAGTGTTCTGCTGTCCTGTGTGGGGCTATGCAGCTGTGTCCTCCACTCCTGGGTGTGTGTGCTGCTCTACCTCACGCACGTGGAGTACTGGCCTCCAATCCACTACATCCCCTGGGACACACTGTGCGCGATGGCCTTCCTGCTCCTCGGTAAAACTCCACCACTCATTTCTGTCCAGATATTAAATTAGTTCATTTGAATGACTCTAACATTTCCTTCAATCTTATCCCTCCTCTCTCACCATCAGCTTTCAATGTCTTGGTGAATCTAGGAAGTGTGCTTGCCTACCCCTCCCTTATTTCAGTTGGAATGTTACTGAGCATCCCAGCTAATTCAGGTACAGAAAGAACAATTATATTTATCTGTTTATAAAACCCCAAACGATAAATCAAGCTAAACAATGGTGTCATTAGAGATCTTCATACAGGTTTACATGAAGTCATTGTGGGAATCTCAAACAGCATTCCACTACACCTGACCCCCTACTGTATGTCTCTGCAGTGGTGGATTTCTATGTCGCTGCAGCCCCCCAGCTCAGCCAGGTCAGAATGGCTGCAGCAGGTATCATCGGGGTGGGCTACCTCTTACTGCTGCTTCCAGAAGACTGGGATGACAGTGTTGCCCGCTGGATAGAGGGTCTGTGGCAAGGAGGATGGCAAGAAGACAGTGTGGTTGGAGAAGACGTAGGAGCTGATGGAGGAGCAATTGCAAAGCCCAAGCCCAAACCAGCAGGCATTGCTGCCGTAACTTGATGCTTTGGTTTTACACAGTAGAACTTGGTGTCAAAAGTCTCTCGACCAAAACCAGGGGCGCAACTTTGGTTTTAGAAGTGGGGGGGGGGGCATAACTTGGTGAGGGGTCTGGGGGTCCTCCCATTTTTGGGGGGCATCTAAAGCTAATTTCCTGCATTTCTACACAATCTAATATGACCCATGACCCTTCTAGCCGTCTCTATTTACAACAACATAAAGTAAGCAAAAATGCCCAGTCATCAAGCTAAATATGTTTAAGTGATTAATAAGACTGAACTAGATCAATGATAATCCAATAATCAATATTGTGTTGCACCTTTAACCAATAACAAATGAACAACTCTTACAAATAAAGTACAAATACTTTTGATTGTCTTTATTAAGAGATCCTCTACATTCAATTTCTGCCAGACCGCCCAGCCAGCCTGAGCCCCTGCACGCCCGACCCCCACCAGTCTTCCTTCCCATCTTTATTTTATGTCTCAAGGGAAAGGTTTGGAAAACAAAAGTTGGAAAACTACATATAATTCATATCATAGGACTAATAGTACTGTGGAGCTCTTTTTATCTGCACACAATATAGCTGGGTCACACCTTCCTGTCCCTAGGGGTCCACGGCCCTGCAGCGCCCCAACCCAACACACCCCACTCAGCTTTAGGATCTTAGTGAAACATTCATTACTGGTTTCAGGTGTTAGGCCAAGGCCAGAGTGACAACCAACAGTATGGCAGGACCAGGACTGAGCAGCCCAGCAGACTCCTTTTATCGTATTGTATTCATATAAGGCATCCAGACCTTATGAAAGTTGCACAGTATACCCTTAATCTTGTAATAAATCAAATGTAGTGATACATAACTTGACATTTTTTCCATCAATTGTGGGAGGATAACCAACCTTCCAATTAATGGCAATGCATTTCTTAGCCACTATAAATGCTAGGTTATACAGTTTCTTCTGATAACAGTCTCCAGTATCAACATTTCCAATTAAACAAAAACAGGGAGAAGGGAGAATCTGTAGACATGCTGAGATAGAAGAACATACTCTTTGGCAGAATTCAGCCAGCATTCACAAGACCATAACATATGCAAATATGTCCCCTTTTGTGTTTTACACCTCCAGCTGAATAATTACATTTCTGTGTGCATGATATTCAGTGTAGGGAATTAGCTAGGGAACCTGACAGATCAATAATGTTACATTGCTATACTGACTAATAAAAACTCTTATTGCACTGAAAAAACATCAGAATATCGGTCATCAATCGTTTGGCCGCTGGTTTCATCATTTGATTCAGGTCTAGTGTGATTGAGGCAAAAATAATAGCTAAAGTTAGTGAGCTAGCTAGCTAGCTCACTAACGTTAGCCAACTTTTGGCTAGCTCTGCTAGCTAATGGTACAATGGTACATCATCAAATGTACTTCTGTTGAAACGGGCCAAAACAAAGGCTACAAAACATTTCCATACACACAACAGCTGTTAGATATTGCTAGCTAGAGCTGAACTGGCTGTGGTAGATGCTAGCTAGCTAACTAGCTGCTAGTAGTTCATTCACTTCAGTTGAGAGGGGATGAAAAATTTGCTAACGTCAAATGTCAGTTACACTGGGAATAAACTTTTATTTTTTCTTCTGTCAAACAGCAGTTACCTTGCCAGCTAGATCAGTCAACTAAAGAGTAGCCAGTTTCTGCTCTCCTTGCTTTTACAACTCAGAGAAAAAGCGTAACACAGACAGCAGCTGCCTCTGTTCATCTCTACCGTGCTGGTCCTACACATCAGCCTTTCAGAAGCTTAGCCTTCACACAGCCTGTCCGCATGCTCTGTGGTGTCTGTGTGTCTGTGGAGTCCTAAATCCAGCTGGCTCAAACCGGAAAACGGCCTACCCGACCGCTCTGAGGTCCTAAATGGTCCTAAAGCACACCTCAGCCGAGTTTTGTATCACAGTGCAATGATAAAACTTGGAGAGACAAAAATGCAATTTCAGAATGTCCCCAGTGAAAGTTGCGCCCTTGACCAAAACAATTCATTGTCTTGTGTCTTTCAGAGCTAAAGTGCCAGATGACCATAGGCCTGTATGTTACAACATTGTGGATGTTTTTCTACTAGGCCTACTCGGTACCCCAAGGGCATGAGTTATGTGTTAGATACCCTCAAATACAGAGTATACAGTGCATTCGGAAAGTATTCATAACCCTTGCCTTTTTCCACATTTTGTTACATTACAGCCTTATCCTAAAATAGATTAAATTGTTTTTTTTCCCTCATCAAACTACACACAATACCCCATAAAGACAAAGCAAAAACAGGCTGTAAGACATTTTTGCAAATGTAAAAAAAAACTGAAATAGCACATTTACATAAGTATTCAGATCCTTTTCTCAGTACTTTGTTGAAGCACCTTTGGCAGTGATTACAGCTTTGAGTCTCCTTGGGTATGACGCTACAAGCTTGGCACAACTGTATTTGGGGATTTTCTCCCATTCTTCTCTGCAGATCCTCTCAAACTCTGATCTGAGAGTCTTTAGGTGCCTTTTGGCAAACTCCAAGCGGGCTGTCATGTGCCTTTTACTGAGGAGTGGCTTCCGTCTGGCCACTCTACCATTAAGGTCTGATTGGTGGAGTGCTGCAGAGATGGTTGTCCTTCTGGAAGGTTCTCCCATCTCCACAGAGGATCTTTGGAGCTCTGTCAGAGTGACTATTGGGTTCTTGGTCACCTCCCTGACCAAGGCCCTTCTCCCCCGATTGCTCAGTTTGGCCGGGTGGCCAGCTCTAGGAAGAGTCTTGGTGGTTCCAGACTTCTTCCATTTAAGAATGATGGAGGCCACTGTGTTCTTGGGGACCTTCAATGCTTCAGACATTTTTTGGTACCCTTCCCCAGATCTGTGCCTCGACACAATCCTGTCTCTGCGCTCTACTGACAATTCCTTCGACCTCATGGCTTGGTTTTTGCTCTGACATGCACTGTCAACTGTGGGACCTTGTATAGACAGGTGTGTGCCTTTCCAAATCATGTCCAATCAATTGAATTTGCCACAGGTGGACTCCAATCAAGTTTTAGAAACATCTCAAGGATGATCAATGGAAAACAGGATGCACCTGTGCTCAATTTCGAGTCTCATAGCAAAGGGTTTGAATACTTATGTAAATAAGGTATTTCAGTTTTCTATTTTCAATAAATGTGCTAAAATAAAAACCTGTCTTCGCTTTGTCATTATGGGGTATTGTGTGTAGATTGATGATGACAATGTTTTATTTAATCAATTTTAGACTAAGGCTTTAACGAAACAAAATGTGGAAAAAGTCAAGGGGTCTGAATACTTTCCGAAGGCACTGTGTTTACTTGACTGATTTTACGAATTTATACATACGAACAACAACTTACAGACACACACAAACAATGACTCAATCTCATCTGCCCAGACACGCATGCTCATACCCCCATCCCAATCTTGGTTCCAATAGTTAATATTTTTTTCTAAGAGATTGTCAGTTGGATATGCTCTCTGCTAGGTTTTGTATATCTTCCCTATCATATGAACATCCTTTCCTGACTCAAACAAGATTTCCTCAACATTGCTCTGATGTCCCAAAGATTTCAAATCGAAATTTCGTGATATGTAACTTTTAAGTTGCATGTATTTGAAACTATCTGCATTGGTCAGTCCAAAATTACTTTTTAATTCTGTCATGGAAATAAATGTATTTCCTGTTACCAGTTCATTTACGGTTTCTATGCCTTTAGTTTTCCATGTGGGCCAATTTACCGATGAATTCTGAACAGCTATCCAAAGATTGTTCCATAAGTTTGTCTTTCTAGGGAGTGAAATTGGTTATCGTAAAATACGTTTCATTTTCTTTCATATAGTTATAGTGTTCTTAACTAGGAAGTTGTTAATGTTCTTAGCTTTATCCTTTGAAAATAGACTCATACAAATATTTTGGGGATGAGCATGCGCATCTTCAATATGAGCACATTGTTCCTCTTTAGTACATGGGTAGCAAGTTGATCCAATTCCAAGTCTGGAAGGTTAAAAGCACCCTCAGACATAGGAAGATGTAAAACTTTCCTTTTTATTCTATGAATTTTATTTGCCCATATAAAGTCTGTTTGGTATTACCAAAAATAAATACAAAAACGTTGGCAGCCATGCCATTCTAAAGAGGTTTATTCTACCTCTAAGATTACTTAACTGATGTTTCTTTATCTCTGTAGACAGCAGGGGCGGTGTGTTCATTAGGGCGATATGGGCGACGCACTGCCAAACGGGAAAAGGAAGGGATTTTTTTTCTAATCAATTATATCACGGCAACAGTAGTTATCAGTGTTCTAATCTAGACGTCTGATCTGCCACTAAATGTCCAATCAGGCTAAAGTCGTGCTTCAAATGTCCCCGCCCGTTTTGGGGCGATTTCAGTCAGGTTGAAAATCGCCCAGAAGTCTCTCATAGCCTCTAATGTAAAATCAATTTTTTTCAAATATCAGAGCTTCCAATACAATCTCTATGGGTTTCTGAGGGCTTGCACTTACGCTCTTTCGTCATACGTAACATAACCATGAACGTAACTAAGAAAAGAGCGGGTAGCCTCATCAATCAATTCACTACTACTGTCAAAATGGCTAGCCTTCAGTGCAACTCGATTGTCTCTTTGAAAGAAGTTCCTTTTTGTCGGCGAACAAATCAAGATAAATTGGCAACGAAACAATTAGGACCTCCCAGACCAAATTTAATAATTCAACAGGTTTCTACTAAGCAGAGTCGTGAACACTGTCTACGAGAATCGAGACGACCTCATAGAATGTTTTGAAGACATTCGGACGGGTTCATTGGGTTCATTTGACCAGCCCACCGTGAGAGAGGCATCTGGCTACGTGAGGATGCTACATGATGAAGATTGTATTTTTTTCCTGCGGCTTTTTCACAAAATCATGCCCCACGTCGACATTCTGTACCAGAAGCTACAGAAGAAGGACATCGATGCTGTCTTTATCAAACGTG